AGGAATACAAGCCAAGCCAAATCCATCTCTATTGATGTCTAGCCTCATATGGTGCAGATACTCACTTCCCCTTTGCATAAGAACCACACCAGGTATCACTCCTTACACTTGTAAATGAGCATTTAACATTTTTCTTTATCTTTTGCATTTCATGTCTGATTTTTCCTCTTTCTCATGCTTTTATAACACAAGGGATTGTGTTATTTAAGTGTGGGGGAAAGGCTTTGTGTTTACTAATCATGTTTTCTCTTGTTCTTATTTTGATTTGCATCTTGAGTCTGCATCTAAGTGCATAGAAAAACCAAAAAATAGAAAAATCTGAAAACTTTTCACAAAAAATGTTCATTTCAGTTGCATTCACATTTTTAGGATTGAGTCTAGTTGCATAATCATATAGGTTTCATCACTTGAATGGGAGTAATGATAGGTTTCTTTGAGAGAGAATCATCTTAAGATCTTGAATTCATGGCCCTAGTTATTAATTCTCTATTGCTTGCAAAACTGGTATGAAATCAAGAGTGAACCATGTTTGGAACTAGTGTCTCAATGCTTCTGTGTTAGTTGGATCAAGTTGTGATTAACTCCAGCCTTGTTTAAAGTGAAAACAATAACTTGACAATCTAATTATCATGTTTGTACATACCATTGTGAACTCATGGGTACCACAAAATATTTGAGCTCTCTTATCCCTTTTTACCACTCTTTGCTAGCTCAAATAGCTGTTCTCTCATTTTGAGACAATTCCCTTCCTTGAACCAAACCTTCCTTGAAGCCTAAAACACTTTAGTGAGAGATGATGTGAGGCCTTTTTCTGAATAAACTTGACAGAAAGCGTTGGGTTTAGGGCGACAAGAGTAGAGTGAGTTTCATGTAGATCTAGCTCTGCATCATGAGTCTAGAGTAGGCTAGGAAGAGATCTTGGGAAACACTGAGTTGAAAAAAAAAAGAGAGAGTTTGAGATGAGAACCAGGGGATGGAAAAGAAAAGAGATCGGTTTGGGGTCTGTTGTTTAATGAAAAAAAGCTCTTGTGTTTTGAAAACTAAAGTCTAGCCTCTAAGTGAAAAGAAAAGAAAAGAAGCCAAAAAGTCTCAAGTGTTTAAAGTGAAAAGAAAAGAGGCTAGACAATGCTAAGTGAGAAGGAGCTAAGTGAAAAGGTTTAGACCCCAAAGCCTGAGTTTGAAAATGAAAAAGATGAATCCTCTGGTGAGAAAAAGATTGAGAGTGAAGTGAGAAATGGGTTGAGAAGGCAATGAATGCCTTGAGAGAAGGGTAGCTTAGGTGTGTTCTTCATGGGTTTAGAGTTAAGGTGAAAGACCAACTTGAGGCATTGGGTAGATGGGATTCTACTCTTGTATGCATCAGTTGCCTTTTACCCTTAGCCTTCTGTTAAAGTTTATTCCTTCTTGAGTGATCCCTTGAGCTGCATTGAACCCACAAGCATTGGAATGAGATCATTTTAATCTCATAACCCTGTGCCAAACCAAATGAGTTCACATGATTTGCATGAGCATGATCCACATGATACTTAAATGAATATCAAAGGGCTGGAGTTAGGAATTCTTGTGAAGGTTGACACTTGAGTTTGGTTCACTTGGTGATGAACATGGCTTGTTTTTATGAGTAAACCAGTTTGTATTGCAATTTAGAATTAGTAACTAGGACCATGAGTTGAACTCTTTTATTGATTACCCTCTCTCTTTAAGAAATGTGAACTCCCAAGGATTCAACCTCTCTCTCTCATTTGTTCTTTTTGCTTGAGGACAAGCAAAGGATAAGTGTGGGGGAGTTGATATATTCATAAATTGCATCATTTAGTGTACATATGTAAGTCCAAATCATGTCTCATTTGCATATATTTTATGTCTTTAGGCATTGTTTTAGGACTTTAGAGATTTCATTAGGTCCAAAAGAGTTTCACATGGTTTGGAGTGTTAAACAGGTGCTTATGGAGCTTATTTAGAGTGGAGAATGTGATTCATATGAAGAAATAGAGTTGAAATGATCAAAAATGGTGTAGAGGAGAAATTTTGAGGTTCTCGGCCAAATGCTGTACTGATGGTCGAAGATTCTCGGCCAAAATCCTTCCTGCGGGTAGATCTCTCGGCCAAAAACACGTACTGGCGGTTAAGTTTCTCGGCCAAAAATACATCTCAGAAATCACATTACCGGAAGGTCTTGCCGTCCGATTCAGCTGTTGCGGTCTTCATGAAAGTTGGAGATAATTGAGTCACAACACCAGATAAGTTTGAATCAGGGAATTTGAAGTACTGAGCTGAAAGATATGGCCACCGGAAGACGAACATGTCTCACACTCATTTCGGAGAAATCCGATACGCCTCAAAGATGTGGTTATTGGGAAGCCTTCCCCTCCGATTTGGTTTACAGGGTCTTCATGAACGTTGTAGAAGATTTAATCACGGATCCATAGCAGGTGGAATCATTTGGTTTGGAGTTGTTATCAGTGATTTAAGCTCACCGGAAGACGCACCTGTCTCGCCATCGTTTTATACTAACCCGATGAGCTCCAAAGATTAGGAGGGACGATGCACTCCAGACCGATTAAGTTTACAGGGCCTTCATAAAGATTCAAGATATTTGAGTCCTATTTCCAGAACGTTTGAGATCATTCAATTTGAAGTTATGAGCAAGAAGATAAAGTTTCCGGAATGGACACATGTCTAGAAGCCTCTTTCTGATCGTGTCAATGTACTGCAAAGATGAGCTCTCCGGGGAACCTTCCACTTCCCAAGCGCCGATAGTTTCTTCACCAAAGATTGATATATTTTAGTGCTCTTTCCATTAAAGTTGTAATCATGCCATTTGGATCCATATCATGGAAGTTACGCTCCCCTGAATATGAAGTGGTCAGAGTGCGACTTAGGCATGCGAGATGGCCGAGCAGAGAAATGAACTGCAGAAAGACTCGTGGTTTACACCGACTTGGACCTGTGACTTGGTACTAAAGATAACCAACTCGCACACATATTCTCTCCAGAATGCGTCCTGGTTGTGCGAGTTGAAGAGAAGGAAGCCTGAACAGCACAAACACTCGCTGTTTACACCTATATAGGCATGCGGATGAGGCTGAAGGATTTAAGGCTCACAAGGCTGTTTCTATGGCTGTGCGACTTGGGCCTGCGACTTGGGAAGCACCTAACCATGTCGCACACTTGAGTCATGACCCATTTGAAACCGGGTCAATATCCAGTTTGTCCTGGGCTGACCCGGTCCAAGACCCTTAGTATAAATAGGTTTTTGGGAAAAAACCCTAGATCTGATCTTTTATCTTTCATTCTCTCTTAGTTTTCTTTCCTTTTGAGTCAAAAACGAATTTGTTAAGAGATATCTAGAGGATTGAATCAATCTAAAGCTATTTCTTATCATCTCATCTTCTTATCTTAGCTCCTAATCATGTTTAACATCATCTTGCAAAAGACTAGGTGTGTTAAGCATGATTAGTAAGTAGTCTTCTTTTAAGCTTCTAGGTGTGTAGATTATGGTGCTTAGATGTAGATTAGTGATCGTTTAAGCTTAGATTCTCTTCTCCTTTCCTTAGTTAGCTGATCCTAATGCTAGATCTCTCATTATAAGCTTGATCTAGAACTTAGGCATTTCTCCACCCACAAAGTGTTTGATGAAATGCCTGAATGAGCTAACTTAAGGGTTTATGCCTTTTTCATCATGGGAATGATTGTTAAATGCATGAATGACATATTTAGAACTCTTTCTTAATGCTCATTGATTCATATTTCACAAATGATGATTTGGTTTGAAAAAGGATTAGTGTAGAGGTTAATGCCTTCATGAGAGGATTAATCTAAATTAAAGTTCTAAGTTAATTGGAATTGGAGATCATGTGATGCTTGCTTTATCTTTTTGTATAAGATTCAGTCTTTCTTAGCTCTTATTTTGATGCACAAAGAGGCTGTCTGGTCATTTTAGACTTGGAACCTTATGCTTGTTAATTGCTTATTCATCTAATGGGAATTAGTCTTGATTTGGTAATTAACAAAGGGATTTTCGTCATGAGAATGAATTAATCTGATTTGGAAATCTAGACTAAAGAATTGCAAGTGTTGCATTGTTTGCTTTGCATCATGAATTCACATTTAAAGCACCCTAATCAATGATCACATCTAGAGGTTTAGCTTTATCTTTATTTGAATTTGAGTCTTTGTTTTGTTTGTCTTGTTTGCTTGTTTAATTATTAACTACTACTTGTTTTTTTTTTTATGGTTATAGATCACTTAATCACCAACCTGTTTCATTAGACTTGGACTAAGAATTGATCCTTATAGTCTTGGTGCCTAGATAATCTCCATTTGGATTGACCCTCAAGTGCTACAACAGAAGAGGTTAATTGACCTTAGTAGGCTAAAAAACCTACTATCAAGAAGCTTCTTGGGACATGCAAGGTTTTATAAGAGGTTCGTCAAGGATTTTTCCAAGATTGCAAGACCTTTGACAAAGTTTCTTTGCAAAGATGTGGAGTTCTCTTTTGATCAGGAGTGTGAAGAAGCTTTTAAGTAGATCAAGGACGCCCTAATCAGTGCACGTATTCTTCAAGCATCAGACTGGAGTTTGCCATTTGAAATCATGACAGATGCCAGCAATTTTGCAGTGGGGGCTATCTTGGGTCAAAAGAAAGACAAGAAGGTTCATGTGATCTACTATCCAAGTAGAACTTTGGATGGAGCTCAAGAGAAATATGCAACTACTGAGAAAGAAATGCTGGCCATTGTCTTTGCTTTTGACAAGTTTAGGCCTTATCTGGTGGGATCAAAGGTGATAGTTTCACAGATCATGCAGCTCTGAGGTACCTGATGGCAAAGAAAGATGCAAAAACAAGGTTGTTAAGGTAGGTCCTTCTTCTATAAGATTTTTACATGGAGATTAAGGACAAGAAGGGGATAACGAATGGTGTTGATGATCACTTGTCAAGGTTAAGAGTTGAAGCTGAGGTCCCAATTGATGATTCTCTACCAGAAGAATACTGATGATGGTGAAGGCCTTGAATGAGCTGGAGGAGCTCAAGTCTATTCAAGAGAAAGGGCTGCCATGGTATGCTGATATTGTCAACCATCTCTCTTGTGGAGTAGAGCCTCCTGAGTTGAACAATTATCAGAAGAAGAAGTTCTACAAAGACATAAGAAGATTCTTTTGGGATGAGCCATACTTGTATGTGCTCAACAAGGACCATTTGTATAGGAGATGTGTAGCTGAGGAAGAGATTCCAGGGATTTTTTTGAGTGCCATGGGTCTGCATATGGTGGCCACAATGCTGCTTCCAAAACAGTGGCAAAGATCTTACGAGCTGGATTCTGGTGGCCAAGCATGTTCAAGGACGCCCAAGAGTTTGTGATCAGGTATGATGTTTTTCAAAGAGCTGGGAACATTTCCAAGAGAAATGAAATGCCACAGAATCCTATTCTTGAAGTGGAGGTCTTTGATGTTTGGAGCATTGATTTTATGGGACCTTTCCCATCTTTATATGGTAACCAATACATTTTGGTTGCTGTAGATTATGTCTCCAAGTGGGTTTAGGCTGTGGCAAGTCCAACTACTGACTCCAAGGTCGTGGTGAAGCTGTTCAAGACCATAATCATTCCAAGATTTGGGGTCCCTAGGTGTGTGATAAGTGATGGAGGTAGCCACTTCATCAATAAGACCTTTGAAGGTCTTCTCAAGAAGTATGGAGTGAAGCATAAGGTTGTTAGTCCTTATCACCGTCAAACAAGTGGCAAAGTAGAGGTTTCTAACAGGCAAATCCATACTTGAGAGGACTGTAAACTCTACAAGGAAGGACTGGGTAAAGAAGCTAAATGATGCTTTGTGGGCATATAGGACATCATTTAAGACACCAATTAGTACTTCTCCTTTCAACTTTCTGTATGGGAAATCTTGTCACTTGACAGTGGAGTTGGAATACAAGGCTTGGTGGGCTGTTAAGCTGCTAAAATTTGATATAAAGAATGCCCAAGAGAAAAGACTCTTTCAGTTACAAAATCTTGATGAGATAAGACTTGATGCTTATGAGAGCTCAAGGATCTATAAGGAGAGAACCAATAATCTTCATGACAAGAAGATAATGAAAAGGGACTTCAAGGAGGGTGATCTAATGTTGCTCTTCAACTCAAAGCTCAAGCTATTTCCTAGGAAACTAAAGTCCAGGTGGTCTGGTCCTTTCAAGATCAAGGAGGAAAAACCTTATGGAGCTGTTGTGCTGGAAGGCAAGAATGGATAAGGATTTGTGGTCAATGGGCAGAGATTAAAGCCTTATCTTGCTATTGAGACCAAGGAGGGAGCTTCCTCAGTTCCTCTTGGTGATCTCATCTCCTCTTAAACAAGTGAGAAAAGTCAAACTTAGTGTCTTAAACCAAAGTAAACTTGAGAGACAATCTCATGTCTATCCCTTGTACTTACTCTGTTATTGTTTTTCTTTTATGTTTCTAATAACACCGTATTTTGACCACTTCTATGGATCATTTTGAAATACTTTTTCTATGTTTTTTATTGCTTTCAAGTGTTCTTATTATGTTGTTTCTAGTATTGTAGTTTCAAGACTCTTTTCAGAAAACTTAGGTAAAAGCTTAACAAAATGGATAGAAGACCAGATTTCAGCTCAGAGTCAAGCCATCAGAAGTTCACCCCCAAATGAAGACCTTCTCACCGTCTGATCCAGCTCAATTTTGGAGACCTTAAAGATGGAACTACCATCTTTCCAGCAAACTTTACATCTTGGCAATCCAACGATTCAATCAAAAGTTACGCGAAGAGAAAGAGGTCCCGTAAACCAGTCGACAAGCATTTCTACCCGCAGCCAACAGCCATTTCACCACGGTCCCGACCTTCCCGACCGCGGAGATTGGTCTGTCCGACCCCGAAGCCCATTTTCAAGCCCAAAATGATTCCCTCATTTGGAGAAACCTTAAGTGATGACTTGGACACTATAAATACATGTTTTTAAGAGCCCTAGACGAGACACAGAGAGAGACACATACAATTTATTCTTTTTGTAGCTTTTAAGTTTTTGTCTTTCATTTTTTTAGTTTTTAGGTTTAGGGAGATAGAGATCTATCTCTTGAACCCTCTTTGTTCTTCTATCCTATTGATTTCTACTCAGCTTTTTAATACAATGTTTTTTCTTTCGTTCATCATGTCTGAGTAGTTTTATTGTTGGGTTTAAGGGATTTTTGATGGGGGCTATATATGTTCGATGAGGATTCCATTAGCTATTGAAGCCGAATCCTAGAACTTTATCTTCTAAACTTATTTATTATGCATGGGAGTAGCGTCATCAACTACAATCTGATCCCGGTTTTGGGTTGTTGCAAAAGTTTTCATTCGAGGCCAGACCTAGTTCGAGAAGAGCAGATCGACCATAGGAGTGGAAACCTACCTATGGGAGAGCTGTGAATATTGATGAGTCTTAAGCATATCGCATCTTTTCTCTTCCAGGGCCAGAGTGGAAACCTACTGGTCAGGGTTGAGAGAGATAGTTGGTTATGATCACGATAGTGGCGTATTCATACGTTCGTGACTCGAGTTTTAAAAGTTTCAGCTAGGATCTTTTTAATTTACTCTTTAGCAATGTTTTGAATCGTTCATCCCCTGGAGAGAATTCCCTGAAAACCCAGCGTCTCGTCTTTATAAGTTTTTGCCGATTTCAATACAAGTTTTAGTCATTAGGTTATTTTTCTTTATCCCAGCCGATTTTCATACAAGCAATTAGGTCTAGTCGTTTCCTAGTTTTTAGTCAATTTCTTTAAGTTTAGTTATTAGGTCATTTTTAATTCCCGTATATTCTTGTTAAGATTAGTTTTTATGTTTTAAAGACACCACCAAAACCTCGACAAAATCGCCTGGTTCTAGACTTCCTTACTTCACATTTCTTTCGAAGGCTTTTGCATGAAATATCCTCCTTCCCTGGTGAAATTGGCATTTTGGAGTGTATAAGCCAAACCATGTACTGCATGCAGCTTTTTTCTGCCAAAAAACGTACCGTGGGTTACATCTCTCGGCCAAAACCTGTACCGCAGTACATGCTTCTCGGCAAAAATTCCTACTTGCCGATACGCTTGAAAGATCTCCTTACTGGAAAGCCTTCCCATTTTAGGATTGAGCCTAGATTACATTTTCATATAGGTTGCATTGTCATTAGCATAGCGAGTAATGATAGGTTTTTCCTTGAGAGAGCATCATCTTAAGAGTTTTATTCATTGTCCTAGTTATTAGTTCTTTGATGCTTGCAAGAAATGAAATGTGCATCATTGTTTGAACCTCAGTTGAAGCAGATTGTGAATTGAACTCAGCCCTATAAAAAGTGGAACCTTAATTTGAAATGAAATTATCATGTGGTGCATATTTGAATAAACTTGTGGATAGCATATACATACTTGGATCATCTTTCCCTTTCTACCACTCTTGTTAATCCAAGTAGCGGATGTCCATCATTGAGAAAGTTTTATCTGCCCTTAGCTAAGCCATCTTTGAAGGCTAAACATTCTAGTGAGCGATGTGAGGCCTTGTTTTGAACGAACTTGACAAAAGTGTTGGGTTTAGAGCGACAAGAGTAGGCTTTCATGTAGATCTAGCTCTGCATCATGAGACTAGAGTAGGTTAGGAAGGGATCTTGGGGAATCAAAGAGTGGAAGGGGATGGAAAAGAAAAGAAAACTGATTGGGGTCTGCTGTTCAAAGAAAAGAAAGCTCTTGAGTTTAACAGGAGAATAAAGAAAGAAAAGAAGCCAAAAAGGCTCAAATTTCTAAAGAGATAAGAAAAGAGGCTAGATATTGCTAAGTGAGGAAGAGCTAAGTGTAAAGTCTGGAGCCCAAAGCCAGGGTTTGTAAATAAAAGTTGAATCCCCTAGTGAGAAAAAGAATGAGAGTGAACTGAGAGATGGGTTGAGAAGGCAACGAAAGCCTTGGAAAGAAAGGGGTGGCTAGTGAGTATTCTTCATGGCTTTAGAATTAAGGTGAATTCAATTTGGGGCATTGGATGGATGGAAGTCTATTCTTGTATGCAACAGTTGCTTTTTACCTTTGGCATTTTGTTGAAGTTCATTCCTTCATTGAGAGATCCCTTGTGCTGAATTAAACCCACATGTGCATCAATGAGATCAATTTCATCTCATAACCTCACCCTTAGCCAAGCTTTTTTGTTTGAATATGCACCATTTTGATCCACATGGTTACAATTAATGAATGTTAAAGGGCTGAGGGATAAGAAGATCTGTCTAGATTTGAGGGTTGGACTTGATGCATTCAGAGCACCTTCTTGCATTGCATTTTAGAACTAGTAACTTGGGTGATTGATGGGCTACGGGCCTAGGGTTGTTTTTCATACAAGCCTATTGGTCCATAAAGAAAGTTTTAAATTTATAAAACCCTAAAATCTGAAAGTGCACAAATGTACATTGTAGAACTTAGGGTGTCGATCCACAGGGAGGATGTCTAATCTGCAAGAAACAACAAACTGGGAAGTAAGCAAAGTCATAAAGTAATACAAGTTTCGGGGTTTTTGGTTAAGAGTCCTAAACTAAACCGAATCTAATATTCACAAGAAATAAAATTCAATGCAAGATGAATTGTTAAAAGAATATCTCAAGCATATCGACTCAAACTAAAGACTCCTAAACTCATAGGTGGCGACTTAGACTTCTCCGGTTTACTCTAATCGATGTATGGTGGCATTTCCAATTAGCTTCCGGACGATTTATCTTCATCTGTTTCTGGGAATCTGCATGGAACTAGAATAGACATATGTATGATTAACCAACTCTCGTCTTCTTAATCAATTAATCACTTAGATCTAGCAATTAACTCTCGCTCTCATGCTAAACTTAAGATCATGCATTAGACATTGAATTCGTCTGCTATCATCTTCTCTATAGGTAACTTTCGACTCCTATAGCGACTATGTTCTTCTGAAGCTAGGTATGGATGATCTGATACAATACTCTTGTGGCTCTGATCGATCCTAGGCTCAGAGAATAGGTCATGAATCTACTCTCATGCTTTATGAACAACTTAGAAGAGATGACATCCATAATATGGTCTAGAACAATAGAAATCCTAGTCGATATATATGCTTGTCGAAATCTTCAAACAACTTGACTCCCTGGGACTAATCTACATGATGCAAGGAATGATAAAAGACATAGAAGAATGCAAAAGAATGAAACAGAAAAGTTAGTAGAATAAAAAGGAGAAAGAACAGTGGATATAGGGAAGAATCCCCATCTCCATCGCCTAACCCTAGAAACCAAAGTTTGGTGGCTCAAAATCTCATTACAGGAGCACACACCCGTTTAGGGCTGCTAAATAATGTATTTATAGGTCTTAAGGTCTTACAGGTCTCATTTAGGGCTTCTCTGAAGAGTAATAGCGAAGTGAGCTTTGATGTTGGGCCTTGTGGCTCGTCCTAAGGTTCACCGGAGGTGAGAGTCTTGCAGGGCAGGTAAAACATGTGTTTCCCGCGGGTGAGAGTCTTCTGGGACTGGTGAACTGGGTCAACTTGTTCTCCATGTATCTTTTTATTGCACCGTTGGATCTTTGTGATGTAAAGTGCTATTGAAAGCTGGTTGTCTCCTTTTGATTGTCTCCAAATTTGAGCTGGATCAAACGGTGAGAAAGTCTTTGAAGCTGAACTTCTGACGATCTGACTCTGAGCTAAAAATATGGATTTCTTCCATTTTGCCATCATTTTCCCTAAGTTTACTGAAAAGAACCTTGAAACTACAAATACATGGAAATCATAATAAAAGTTCCTAAAACTGATTAAAACCTTTGAAAAAGCATTTGAAATCAATGGTGAAAATGGGTCAAAATCAAGTGTTATCAACTCCCCCAGACTTAAGACTTTGTTTGTCCATAAACAAAACAAGATCCAATCTGAAAAAATATCATTCAACAGAAATTAGAGGGAACTCAAAAATATCAGCAACCATACTTCTAGACCTTAATTATGGACAATGCATCAATCAGATCAAGTCTAGAAAATTCTCACCAAAATACAAACACAACTAGTCCGTTAATCCGTTTAGAACTAACTTCCAGTTAACTAGCTTTTAACATCCATTTAAGATTTCAGTGATTCTCATCAAAAGGATATTAAACAAGGCATTCAAGGTTAGGTATCAAAAGGCTTTTTAATGGTAAGGCTTGATGTTTTTGGGGTTACCTTTTTCTGGAGAGACAGGACATTATGCAAAACAGCAAGAGAGGATGGAACTGTAAATTCCCC